TGTACTCATGATTCCCGCTTAACTATTAGTAACCTCCTTCAGACCTGTATTCGATGTAGTTAAAAACTAAATTTTCATTTGAAGGATACTTTTTAATCAAACTTTCATTGTAAAATTAAAATTATCAACCTCTCCGAATACTTTGACTCGGAAAAACGAATGAAAGGAAAACACGGTTACAAGACACATTTTGTCCGTTTCATACTTGGTGTGAGTTTTCTATCGAGAAATCTTTTGAATTAATCTTAGATGTGGCAAAGAATAGTGGATATGAGATTGGTCTCGAAGTCTCGTTAAAAATTTCATCTCTGCGCCCATGGTTACATCATATCGACTGCTTTACGGGGGAAAAAAGAGGCATCTAGATAAGTGACATTTTTCTGGATTTGACTCCCATCAAAAATGAAAATAGTTATACCGTTTAGGTTTGAAAGGGTCCAAGCGACAAACACCTCTGAGCTTTGCTTTCTCTCTTTCGGTGTAACATTCCGAGCTACATTCGCACTGGCGCTTGGGCCCCTTAAAAAACAATACCAACAGTTAAGTTTTTCCTGCTCTTTTTTCCTCAAATCCAATATAAATTTCACTTTATCCGACCGTAATTTTACTAGAAATGTACTGTTCAACCTAACCAGTGCGAGCATCAAACTTAATACGTAAGATTTTACTTACGATTTCTCAAATAAAAATCAATGTATGCGGACTGATTATAACAAGTCCACAGACACCCTGAGGAAGCCAGCAAATAAAAAACAAACATGACGCACCATAACTACTTTCGGCCGAAGTGCCCTCCGTTCGATGTTGTTTTAGTAATACCTCGTTAGTTATGAAAAACCGTCGAAGGGAAACACGCAATTTTCCAATTGATTCTCATTTCATTTGGACTCCATGGATGCAGGCTAATTGAATTTTTCTCTGTATACGTTAGGTTTGCAGTGATAATTTTACCCAACACGAGAACCCGATAATTTACAAAAAAAATAAGGCAATTTTTTTCATTAGAGCCTGTTTCTTGCCTAATTTATTCGTTTTCATTTAAAAATTAACGTTTTCTGTATTTTATAAAATTCACATCGTCAAGCTAATTGGAATCCTCAGTTCATACGCGATGACTGTAAATCTGATGATGGAAACTAAGCTAATTACGTAATATTTAAAGTATATCGCGCTTATATTTTATGCAATTATCCATATTTTGATTAATAATCTTCAAAATCAAGCAAATCAAACGCCAGACTGTTCCCACAATAATTAGGTACGCGCAAAACACGCTGAGATAGCCCAAAATATTGTCAAACAATAGCCAAAAACAATGGGATGAGCCGAGAGAAGGGATACAAAACAACCTAAACAAAAAACCACTCCCGGTTCACGGGCTCCGGAATGGATTTTTCACGATCACGGAACGCGAAGCAATTAACGCGATTTTTCTGGATTTCGCTCCGATTCCCCTTTGAGGACCGAGACCCGAAAATTACGGCCGTAACTATTCTTTCACTCCGTCTCGGACCTCTCTCTTCATCCCTGTGTTTCCAGGATTGACATTTTTATTTCAGGCTGATTCGATCCGAGGCCCAATAATGCCGTGTAGGCGCACCTATTCGGAAGAGGGGGGCAAAGGGGGATCGCCTGGGGTTGAATGACATGTTTGTCCTGCAATCCCGATCCAAGTCGCCTCCTTCCCACGCCTTTCAGCACTCAGCAGGTTGCTACTCTAACCAACGCTTCAAAGGAGTCAAAACAATGCCAAAATAGAGGAAAACAATCGGGCTGGTGTTTCTGTCCCTCTCTCGAGCTCGCCTCTCTCTCTCTTACACCGGTAATTTATATCCACTTCCCGGCTCCAGATTTGACGTCACAAAGGCCTGGCTCGACCACGACAAAGCCCCCACCTGGTCCATCCCCATTGATCGGGCCCGCAAGACGCAAAGTTCGGATTTGAATGCGGGGAGAGCTGCGGTCAGACTTTTTGTTGCTTTTCGCCGGCGTTTCCTTAATCCGAGGGAAGAAAGTTTCAGAGATGTAGCGCGTGTGGTCCATCCCACGATTGGTCCAAAGGATCTTCCGAGGCCCGTCTGCACGTCTTTTTACGTCTGCATTCAGGGATGGAAATCTTTGAGAGATGGAGGTCCCTCGAGTCTGGGGGTGCGAAGTCGATGATAACGTCTAAATGCAACACTTTGCGCGCTTCATGGCTGTCCGTGTTGCGTATGCAGATAATGAAGGCGCGTTCCCTTCCTTAGCGTTTTCAATTATGTGTGCCATCCGAGTATCGATAAGAGAACTGTTTCTAATATTTTAAAACCAACCTTAAGGTTGTTACTCCCGTCTATATACGAAATTCTGAGGCCCCCGTGGTACCCCCATGTGTAAATAAACTCTAAAATGTATAACATTGTAAATTAGGATAATTCTGTGTGTCTTATTGTTTTGTTACAGGTGTGCATGTCCAGGATCGCTGACTCTACACCTTGGCCTTTCACCTCATTAAGCCCTCCGGCTTGGCACACCTGTCAACAACCAATAGTTCCAAGAAAAGGCTATCTATTGCCCCATTAAATATTTTTCAAGTTAGGACCTTAGTCCACCAGTTAGCTCTAAACTAGTCATTAAGTTAAGTCAAGCTAATGTAAAATTTCCTAGTACTGTCATGGTAGGGGAAGAATATTTGCAGAATTGTTTTTAGAGGATTTGCGTACAGCAATAGAAGGGCTTGGAGGTAAAGTCGTATAAGTGAAATTTTTACTATTTCGAGAAAATCGTACGTTTGTGATGGGCTCCTTGTCAAAGTGAAAAAGCCGCTTTCTTCTCAAAATTTCACGAGAAATGAGTCATATAACCGAAATCTTGGCATTCAACTCCTGAATAAGATATACGTGTTTAAAATTAACATTGGTTAAATAAGAAAATATGAATGACATGAATGAGAATTACAATGAAACTTCTAATTGATTCGTTTTGAGAAGACTCGCGTCAATATTTCGTTCCTGAGTTTCCCGTTGTGTGTATCGTATTCCTACGTAAGACTTTGAAGAGAAAAAATATTTGCAATTTTTTTAGTTGGAACCTTGTCTTGTAGTCCATGCTGTGATTAGAAGGAAAAAATAGAATTTTCACAATGGCAGACGAAGTAGCTGGACCTACATACCCTTCCCGGAATACATCGCCTCCCCTTAGATGTATTCAAAGCGCCGAAACAACAAATTCAAAAAGAAGTCTTCCAATTTTACTGGTTTTCTGAGCATAAGCAATCAAAAATATATGTATATCGACGGTATAAATCCGCATCACGTATCTCGGTTTGTGATGTTGCAGACTTCCTGTCATACTTTCTTTTTTAAATGGAAAACTACCCAACGGCAATTCTTGAAAACTGCCGTCATTTTCTCCTCTATGCGAGAACTTTAAAGAATATTATCGAATTGTTCTCCTCTAAACAAATAAAATATAGGAGCGGAGATTTTTAAACACAGTAAGCGAGATACGTGGTTGCGGACTTACACTGTCGATATATTACTGCACTCAAAAAAAAAACTACGGCCCTGTGACCCGGTTGCTCTGGACACTGGTGATCCCGGCGTTAACGCGCTGTGCGCCAGCTAGTACTGGACCCAGCGGCCGGTGTCCCGTGGACCCCGCGCGGCCTTCATGGCCGTAA